GGTGGGGATGGTAGGGAGCGCGTTTTACAGCTTGTTTTCTAGCGTCTCCCAGAAGAGAATCTAATATATAAAGCTCAATTCTGTATGTCTTCTTCTTCTTCTTCTTCGTTCTTAATTATTAGTGTTGAAGGGGATCGAGATTTATCTGCCAGACTTTGTTCGAATTTATCAACCATGAGCTTTTTGCCGACTCGACCACGCCTCCAACACAATTAAGCGTTACGTGTCAACTGGCTATGCGCCATTGACTCCGATTTCAGCCTGCTTTTCTTTTTGGATTTGCTTCCATAGCCTTTGTCCAGCCAAGAACAAACTACAAGGCAGCAGTTGCTTGATTTTGGAGTTGTCTCTCCTAGATGATTGGCTGTCCCCAGCTAACGAGCCTCATCTGCCCGAGGGTTCGTACTCGAGACTTTTCGGTTTAGCAACCATGAGCTTTACCGACTCAACCACGCCGACCCCAATTCTGTATGTAAAAATACGTATGTTTGTCGTTGACATACTTCTATGGATTTAAGTGTTAGACTATTATCGTGCGCATTTGTCTAAATTTATTAGTTAAAAAATTACTATTGAAAGTGTTGGGAAATAATTTTCATTTTTCAAACTGATAGTAATAATTGTCGGCATGTTCATTAAACACAATTTAAAAAAAATAACAAAAATTCTAATTATGTCTGAAAATCATTTATATTTAGTCCTTTGGCACTTACTTCCCTTTGATAAATCAGGAAAACACAATTACTTCCCTTTATAAAACATTGCATTAGTGGAAAAGAATTTACTTTTTATTACTTTGTTTTGGTGTTGGGGAAAAAAATAATTACATAATTAGCGGGGATTGATTAAGTGCAAATGTTGTAGGTATTTTACGAATAAGCTTGGAGTATTATAATTGTTCATTTGGTTTGGTTTGGCACCTACGTTCGTTTAAGTGAGTGCAAAAAGACTATGAATAAGCTGGGGTACTATAGTCGATTATTATTGCTTTTTTCGTTTTCGTTTGTGTTTTTTCTTTGGGTTTGTGTTTGTATTTGTGTTTGGTTTTGCGTGTGGATTTGGTTTGTTTTCGTTTGCTTTTTCGTTTGTGTTTTTTTTCTTTGGTTTTGTGTTTGTGTTTGTGGTTGGTTTTGCGTTTGGATTTCGTTTGTTTTCGTTTGCTTTTTTGTTTGTTTTTTCTTTGTGTTTGTATTGATGTTTGTGGTTGTGGTTGGGTTTGTTGTTAAGTTTTTGTTTTCGTTTTTATTTTTAATTGTGTTAGCGTTATGTTTGCGTTTTGTTGTTTTGGTTTGTTGTGGTTTGGGTGGGCAGTGCCGGGTTTATGATGATTACTAAGCACACAGGTAATGGTCTTTAACAGAAAGGTTTTCACAGAAGCCAGAGCAGGGCCTGGCCGGGACGGCTAGTTATATATATATAGATAATGACGTCTTAGCCCATCAGATAAGAACCATTGAAGTTTAGTTTCAAGCGGGATAATTCACGATTTAGTCACTCAGACGCATAATATGCTGTGTTTCTTCCAGACTTTTTTCTCCAGGGGGCGGGGGTGGGGGGGGGGGGGGGCGGGGCACTTTAAATTTTCGGGGGGGGGGGGATGGGTTGGGCGGTTGACTTTCTTCGGGGGGGGGGGGGGGTGGGGGTGGGGCGGACACTGTTAAAGTATATATTTTCTATATAAATTTCATTTCGAAGCCCCCCCCCCCCCCCCCCCCCGAAGAGATGCCTGGAAGAAACTCCGATAATATGGCACCCCAAGATCGTCAATTCTATTGAAATAGAGAAACAAACTTTTATGTGAATACCATAAGTTCATAAATGCCATCACCTCGTCATTTACATATTTCTATTTCTAATGGACAATAATAGATTCGTTTCATTAGAGATTCCGCCATTTGAATTTTATGCACTCGGATACAGTGATTATACCTAGAGTTTTGAGGAAAAAATATACATAATTATAAAATATCACCTTCTCATATGTCTTGTGTTACATTTTTTAAAAATTACTTGACATTTTGATCATAAATTTGGAGGTCGTAAAAGTAAACTCCGCCTCCCCCCCCCCGCCTCTCCAATTTTCGAATTACAGACTTTAAATAACAAATTTAGCAATTAAATTAATATAAGCTATCCTTGCTGACAAAAAAAATTGCTTGGTTGGTTTAATAAACACTTTCAATGATACAAGTGCAATATTTTTATTAAGTATTTTTATAGAGGATCCCTGATTAAGATTAAAAATGCACTCAAATATTTCATTAAAATAATTGAACAGCAAAAAGGGGAGTCTTTAATTTAGCACAAGGTCACATTTAATCGTGATGTACGGCGAGGGGTGGGGGGGGGGGGGGGGAGGGGGGGGGGGGAAGAGGAGTGGGGGGGGGGGGAAGGAATGAGTCAGCCACAAAAAAATAATGTAGTTTGCCAGACTAATAAATAACGGCCAGTAATACTTGGTGACAGGGTTTTACCGAGAAATAAACTACAAGATTATTTTTGATAGCCAGGGCTGAAAGTTCTTGGGGATTTGGCTAGAAATAATACCCCGGCTTAAAATACAATCAGATAAATAGACACTCGATGAAACAAAAAGGCGTAGACATTTTGTCAACATAGTCTGGATATTTTTTGTTGAGATTTGTGTATAAGGGGGGGGGGGGGGGGGGCGACTCATAGAAAGGTTTTAAAGCTAAAAATGATTTCATGTAATACATGTGGCAGTGACTATGTTACAATTGTAGCTGAGGCTGTTACATGTATAGCTATGGCTATATTACAATTGTAGCTGTGCCTATACTACAATTGTAACTGTGCCTATGTTACTAGTGTAGCTGTGCCTATACTACAATTGTTGCTGTGCCTATGTTACTATTATAGCTGTGCCTATGTTACTAGTTTAGTTGTGCCTATACTACAATTGTAGCAGTGTTTGTGCAAGTTTCTACTATTCAGTATTCTGTATGGCCATCTTAAAAAAAAACATACTTTATCTTAAAACATAAGAGTGCTTTATACTTTTGTTTTCATTTTTGACAAAAACTGTTATATCAGCTATTTTTGACTGAGCCAAAAATGTATAAATTTCCAGACTAATAAAGAATTTGCCAGACTAATAAAGGCTAGTGCGATAGATAATACTTTGTGATAAGTTTTTACTGAGAAATAAACAAGCTTTTTTATTGTCTAGGCTGAAGGTTCTTTGGGATTAGGCTAGAAAAAATATATGGCTTAAAATACAATCAGATGAATAATAACCAGATGAGACAAATAAGAGTTGAGGTTGTGTCACCTCAATCTGGCTTTATTGATAAGCCTTTTTTTAGAATTTCAGGGCAGTTTAAATTACAGGGAAACCGAATATTGTCTGAAAATATCAATGTTGAATTTCTCAATAAACACAATACAATATGATCATCGAGTCCAAACTATACAACAGCACCAACAAATTAATAACTTTGTGATATTGATACCTAGCCATCGCCACCAAAATGCAGAGGCGTAGCGAGGGGGGGGGGGGGGGGGCGCACCAAAATGGGTTGGAAAAACACAAATCAAAAGTTTGTCACAGGGGGCGGGAAGGGTCGCTACGCCTCTGCCAAAATGTCTATGTCAGTGCTGTTTCCAAGTAAAATAAAACATGTAATTTAGATTGCAACACAAACAGCACTTTTTGTAGGTTGTGTATAACTAGTGTCTACAAACAGTGAGAAATTGTTCTCACAATAACCTAACCTCCAGTAGGTCAAGACCATTTGTCTTTAAGACTTTTTGTATGGTGATTAGATCTACTTAGGAATGGTTACCCAGATGAAAATGCATGGTGTTGAAATGCCTTTTCATAGTCTTCCTTGAGTTTTCAATTTTTCTTTTCTCAAATGTTTGGATTTATTTGAAGACATCCCACATTCAAATAAGCATATTTCATTCAAAGTTAAAAAATTTCCGTCGTGAAAATTTCAACCTCAAAAACTGACAAATTTCATAGAGGAAGTTTTTTTTTAAGATAGCTTCAATTTATATTATTACACACAGTTTTTATTGAAGTATATTATTAGTGTGTTAGCTAAAGAGCTTAAAATGGTCACTCTCTCTCTCTATATATATATATACACGCATATAACACTAAAACTAACATACAATAGAGAACTAACTGTGACTGTCTCATCTGATTTAAAAAAAAAGATCAACACACAACTGGAAATTAAACCATTTAATAGTTTAATACAGATTTCATTAAATCACTTTCTTGCACTCTAGCACAGGGTGGAAATTTATAACCAATCAGTAAAAAGTTTGGCAACTCGTGTTGCAGTCAGCGTCTCTAACTTGTCATCCACGTTACAAGATCTAAGTTTTTATCTCACCAAAATAATTCAGTGACTCCACCCCCATGTCATCTGTCTAACTGACCACATACAAAACATAACAATATTTTAACCAATATTTTTCAAATATATGTGTAGATCAGCCAAACCCTGTCTGTACATCACATAATTAAATCATTAAGTCTAGTTAACAGCAAGTTCAATATCTGACATACAGGTAAGTTGATCCATTCGCTTACAGGTAAGTTCACCCATCCATTTAAAGCGAGATCATCCATCCACTTATACTAGTTTTACTCACAGACTCTTGTAAATAACAAGGCAATTTATAAACAACAACCTATGAAGGGTAAACAAGGAAGCAATGCAACAGAATTGCACAAACCTGAATAACCGCAAACAAACAGCTCTTGGCTAGTAAATTAATTGCTTCAAACTAAATGAACCAACAGATGCAAGGGTACTTTTGTGTCCAGATATAGAACACAGCTAACTGAAGAAAATAAATGACTAAAGTACCATATCATATAAAGACTTTTTCCTCTATGGAACAGGTGAAGTAGATTTCATCTGATTCTGTGAATAAAAGGAATTGTATGGTTAGCATGTTTTTACTTCTCACATCCCAGAATCGCCTAGTGGAAACAGATACATCAAATGAAACCCAACAGATACTTCAAATGAAACCCGGGAACCAAACTTGTGACTTTTGGCTTAGCAATTGTGACCTTTACTGCTTGCCCAACCCATTCAATTAATAACTGACGGAGACACCTGATACAAACAAAACCTTTGCCCTAATCCTAAAATATATCAGAGATATTTAATCTGAACATAGCCTTGAACTTTAAAGTGAAACCAAGGAAAAGAAAAATTAATAAAGTAGTCAATGCAAACTAAAGTACTAAATCAGTTTCAGTCCTAACATAAAAATAGTAGTTTGAAGATCCACTTACTAAGTGGATACCTACAACAAAGTTGAGCCTTGTGGTAGTTCTTTTTAGAGAGGAGGGAAAGGGTCTATAAATGCAATCAAAAGGTAGAAATGATAAAAAACTAATATGTATGATTAATAAATACAGATTTGTGACTGAAACCAGGTAATGCAATTTTAACAAAGTAAGTAGTGACATTGGCAGATCCCATCAACATTTGTACTTTCTGCTCACCATTTTGTGTGTGCTGATTAGCTCATATTCCACCTTTGTTATGGTTACTAAATAAATTCAATTACATAAAGGAAATGAAAAAAGTTTAGCCCCAGATGTGATTCTTGTCAGGGTAATAAAACATACATATGATTCTGAGGTCAATTATACATTTACTATTCAATTTTTATTTCACACCAATGCAAAAAAAAAAAACCAAAAAAAAAACAATTGATAAATATATTAAAGCCATGTTTTTTTTTACAATAATTCAGAAATATATAATATACAAACATATTAATTATACAATAAAAAATACAACATGTAGCATTCTTTAAGTAGAACAAAAGACCATGGAGTTAAAAATAAAGCATATAGAAATTTGTAAAAGACATTGATTTTATTAACTTGTTAAAGATGTGACATGAAAAATTATACTTTAACCAACACCTTTGTATCTAAGTTAATGTTTGATAATTATGAAAGTGTTAATAATCAAATCACTTTCAGTAATTAAAAAAACAAAATATAAATCACCTTCTACATGGAATAAAAATTAAAAGGGTCTGTGACTATATTATGTTAAACTTCTTAGTGACTATCATCAATGTCTAAACATTCAAATGTAAACAAGTCTTGGAACAATCACAGCCTTAAAACAGGAATATCAAATCATGGTGGGAAGTAGTCTATGATACAACAATGCAAAACCTAGCCCACACTACAGCACAGTGAATACTGTCATCAGTTTTGTACATAATACCATCGTTGAAAGAAGTGCCATGATTAAATTAAATTGAAACAATCAGGCTTGATATTCGCTTGAATTATACAGTTTTATAGTTTTCATCAATTAAAAACTTAACACAGTTATGTAACAGAGAATTTTTGTATCCAACAACAATTAATTAATTAGCTGATGTTATTAATACATTCAACATGTTATTGGATTTCAAAGCTAGTTACAAGGTGATTTTTGGTCTTATTAGAAGAAATTCACAAGGAAACGGTCAGGCTCTTACATACATTACACTTACAGCACCGCTAATACTAATACACTTTGTTATTTGCAATATGGTAATGTTCAGTATTTAAACATGGATAATATAAGGTCTAATTTATTAATTATATCACTTTAACTTTAATTAAATCATTGTCATATTATTATTTAAATTAATGTCTATTAAAATTATTTATGTTTAATTTTTCCCTAACTCATAAACAAGATTTTAAATTAAAAAAATAAAAAATAAATCAAGATTTACCTGACAATTTGAAGGCTTTTGGAAAATGTTCACCTGTTTCTAAGGAACTATGAAGGAATTGTGGAAGAGTTTGTCAGTCAAGGTTTTGTGAGTAGTAGTGAACCTATGCTAAACTATTTAACCACAGAGCAACTCCATGTGAAGTATGCAGTGTTTCCAGCAGGAGACAAACCTTGATTCTTATACATGAATGAGTATTGTAGCAGGATAAAAATTGACCAGTTAGAGGTTTCAGATCTTATATCAGGGAGCTGACTGGCCAGTTATGTACACACACAGGTTGTCATAGCAACATACATCCCGGCTGAGCTGTACATGGTAGCCACATTGAGAAAATGGGATCAAAGTATTGCTGGTGTTATTGAAGCATTTTTTCACACTTTTAAGCAAAAAGTATAATTGGATATCTATGTACATTTTTAAAGAACATATTTTATCCATAGCGACTAATGTGATAAAAAGGTTTATAGGTGTGAATTAATTAGCTTTATAAAAGGACAACTTCTCTTACTTAATCTTACAATCAACACCAATAGAAGAATTGGTTCACCATTCTAAAGAGAAACTAGAGGCTAGTCAGTCTACTTAATAAAAGTAAGCATTTATTAAAATTATAAACATTTTCTCTACCAAATTTTGTATCCTCTCAAATAAATGTATAATTTAAAATTGACTCACAGAATGATGCACTAGTTGGACGTAAGTCATGACTAGATCAATTAAACATTTAATTAGTGATAAATGTATACTGGACAGTATGGTATATACTTAATGTAAAAAAAATGTGTGAGGTTACTGAAAACTCTGCTGTTGATAAAAACACCTTGGATATTTTGTGATGACCACCAGACAACCGTTCCACTGCTTGGTCAGGCTATGCAGTGGCACAAGCAGAGGCACACCTCCACAAAACAAAAATATGTTTAATGAATAGCTGAAGCATTAATCATACAGAAAACTTCAGCCTGGTAATAATGTACAACACTTAATTAAGGCTCACATAGACACCAAGATACTTGATGAGATGTTTGAGAATGTTGAAGATAATTAAATAATTTCTTGCAACATTTATCTATAAATAATACATGAACAAAAAAAATAATGTTTTGCTTCTTGCAAAACATTCATATTTTAAAATAATTTTAAAAAGTTTTCATAGTACTTTAAACATTAGTTAACGTATTTTATACTCTTTTAACAAAAGTAAAACATTAACGCACATTCTCCTATACACAAAGATATAGCTACAGATAGAAAAAGAATTGACATTCTATACCTTTTTAAAAAAAAAAACAGATAGAAATTATAATCATTTGGCTAGACATAAGTAAAAAATATTCAGTAAACTGATTTTAATTTATCAGCCTCATTCCTACTTAAGTAACCGTAAGTTCTACAAAGAATGATACTACTATTGAAAAATCCATTTAAAATCTAATTCTGATAACTGATACAAAACTGACTAGCAATTCACTGTTTGAACAACATTGAGAGAGATAAACAGGTGCACTCTGTCACAGACAAATCAACAAATCTGTTGGAAAATATCCAAAGAATAAACACTCACTATTTTTCACCTTCTCAGTTTTCGTCATCCATAGGATTATATTTCCTGGTTTAAGTAATCCACAAGGTTAATATCCATTGTTTAATGCCAGAAGATTTTACTCATTGTTTTAGCACATCCAGTGTTACTTATTTCAGGGCATCCAGAGATTACATCAAATATTTCAGCTTATGCAGTTAACATATCAAGAGATTTGTCGTGATCCATATCTGTTTCAAACAAAGCCTCACAAATTTTTTCACTTTTGAAACCCAGCTCAGCAAACTGGCTATACATTTCAAGAAACTTTTCCACCTGGTGTGAATTAGATAATTCAACAATATTCATACAAAAGCAAAATGGCATTCTTCATTTGAGTATTCTTAAACTAAGTTAAACTGAATTAATAATAATGTTTAAAAAGAAAAGAAAGGACTTGTGTTAAAATATTTCAAATTTGCTGCTGGTCGTAACTGAACTTGCATTGCAGAAAACCTGACACCTATTACATTGTCATACCCATAGTAAAACAACTTATAACTTATAAAGATCTTTGTCTTAATGGAAAAAGTCTACTTATATGGATCATGAGAAATGAGAGCAAGTATATCTGTCTTTGTAAACTATTTTAAAATAGTGGTTACCTTTTCTGTGTTGTTCTTTAATTTATGTAAGGCAGATTCCACAATGACAGGGGCATATTTTTTTTCAACAAGTTGATCTACTGCAAGCAGATGGTCAAGTACCTGATTGATGGACAGTGGAAAGAAAATCAATACAGAACACAGAAAATATAACTCATAAAAGTAGTATGAGACAAGGCTGTTGTCCATAAAAGGTATCATACACCTGGAGGAACAGGTCTTGGATTAGGTCCTATATGAGAGGGTAGAATTTAAGAAAGGTGATTGTTGCTATTTGTAACATGGGGTGGGGAGGGCTGGTTGGATTGAGGTGTGTGGTGACCATAACTAGGTGTAAAAACTTGTGTAAACAAACATCTCTGTATGGGCACTGCTCTACTTGACTTAAAATTACAACACTGTCCTTGTAAACAACCAAACCCCAATGGGTACTGCTCTACTTGAAAAAATATTTTTGTAAACAAGCAAATCTGAATGGGTACTGTACTATTTGACTTAAAAAACGTGTGTAAAAAACCAAATCTGAATGGGTACTGCACTATATAACTTAAAACACAGTTTATTTACCTCCCGTTCATCCTGACCAAACTTCTCCACAGCACGGGCGACTCTGGCCCTTAGAAAACCCATAGACGTAAGATTATCTGTGAAGATTTGGGCCTCTCTTGAAAGACTGTGATAAGGATCACCCAATCCAATCTCTTTAACAGCCTGGGGCTGGCTTGTGTTATATGAAAGTTTGGGTTTCGGAGATGGTGGAGGTGGAAGAGGTCTGTGTTTGTTTAAGGGCTGAAATTTAATGAAATTAATATCATTTTTTGATCAAAACTAAATTGTCAATATAAAAATAATTAAAAACAAAATCGAACTTCACTTAACATTTTTTTAATTATTTAATTCAATAAATTAAAATGGATTTAATAGATTTTCTAAAAATATGCTGAAATATATGATTGGTTAAGATGAGTAGATTTTTAGGTACACTTAGAAGATGTTGACTTTCAATTTTTCTATCCTGTGGATAACCTGGCAAACTAAAATTTTTTTTTCAAATGGTGGATAATCAAAAGAAGAATTTAAAAATCAAGATTCGTTTGTATATAATAAACAAATTATATATTCTTTTTTTTAAAAAAAAAATGGAATTCTTAAAATACTATTTATTTTGAAAAAATATTGTTAAGACAAAATCTTACCTGAAGTACAACATTATTTGACAAGGCAGGTAAAGAATTTAAAACAGGTGATGTCCTCAATTCCTCCGAACTACTTCGTGTGGACTGTAGATCTGTGCTTGACAAACTATGCCTACTGTAAGGGTTTTTATTTAAATGTTCAAGCTTTTGGCTGCTCTCATCAAAAGATGAAGCCATAGATGGGTCTACAGATGACCACATTCTCGCTCCAGAACCTGATTGCCTGTTACGCAGAATTGGCTTCTTGGAAATGGGTGGTGGAATAGGCTTTCCCTGTTTGTCTAATGAGCTGCTAGGGTCTGAATTATGTAGAGTATTTGGTAGGAATGGATTGCTTCCTTCAACTGATGGAAGGAATGGATTGTTTGTTTTAAAAGGGTTTGTTTCAGCAACACCATCTGGTTTGTTTATAGGGGGCAGCACAGGTTTGTAAATTTTACTGTTGGCTAAGTTAGATGCTGGTTTTACAGCCAACGCTGGGTTAGCTTGCCCCCAGCCTGTTGGACTTGGAGATTTTATAACACCAGAATTGTTTTGGAAGAGGACAGCCTGATTGTTGATCTCAACATACTCATCTTCAGTTGTTTCCACAGCAGGATTTAAATTTACAAAATTGTTTTCAAAATTATTGTCAGTATTTTCTGAAATTGTACCATCCTCTTCTAAATTTTCGTATCTATCTTCAGAAAAATCTGCCCAGTTTGAATCTTCAGGTACCACAGTGGCAGTGTCATAAAAGCCATTGTTGGATGTGTCAGCGTCTTGTATTGGTTGAGGTAAGTGAGGCAAGGATACAGCTGATTGGCCATAAGCTGCAAGGCTCTCACCATTGGCTGGAGTACATTTTGAAGATGAATCCAAGACAACTTTCAATTCCTCCATTTCATTGATGGTCTGCAGCTCTAGATTATCAAACGGGTCAGCTTCAGACTCAAACATAGATACATCTATCTGGTTGGTATCTGGGGAGTCTGACTTTTTAGACACAGATGAATGTATTGGTGTTGGCTTTAAGATCATCCCTGGCTCAGAAGCAGACTTAATCCCTACAGTGGGTTTAGGTAATTCAACTGAAGCTTTAGGCTGAAGAGAATGTTTTTCAGGTAGCGCCACTTGATTGATTGGTACATCATACATGTTTTGGCCATTTTCTTCTACACTCGTGTCTTGTTGAGCGTCTTGTGCAGATGCTAGTTTTTCTCTTTCAGCAGCTTGTAGCTTTTGTTTTTCTGCTATTTCTAATTCTGCCTGTTTTATTGCTTCTTCTCTTGCCTTGGCCCATGCCAAAACTCCTTCTTCAGTTTCAAATGTATACTACAAAAGAAAAAACCAAAACATAAAACTTACACAATAATCAAAACCAATAAGTGACATGAGGATCATATAGCGCAAGTGAAAAAGGCATTATTGTAGCAATTAACTAGAATATATAATAGCATTATGCGTGCAAACAATACTTAAAACCTAAAACATGTGTTGTCTTACTTCTTCAGTAAATGTTCTGATTGGTTGAATTAGTTCAGGCTGTGTAACCACCTGTGGAAGATAGGTTTTAAAATTATTCATTTGAAAAATACAGTTTTTAAACGTTTATGTATGTACACAATATAACCCAAGTTAAATAACATTTTATACAAAGAAAAAATACCTCTGGATTTAGCCTAAAATTTGTGCTAATCTTAAATGGAACTCCATCCAAATACGAATAGCTTGATCCTAAGCCTGAAAAATCAAAATAAGCCAAAAGTTTTAAAAAAAAATGACTGAAATTCTTATTACATGAATAATAAAAAAACCCACATCTAACACAGTTTTTAATAATGGCTGTTACGAATTTTTCATTAGTTAACATTTAAGAAAATTTAGAAAATATAAGAGCCATCTTTATTGGAGCTAAATATCTCTAAGTAGAAAACCAGAAATGGCAGTTCATCAATGATCTTCCATTTAGAAAATCAGCTCTTTTGGTATTGCCTAATCATAGACAAACAATAAATTTGCTTTGTCTCTCAATAACTAAATTATACTTTTAAAAGCTTGCTAACTTTTAAAACAAGGCAGTATTATGAAAATAAATTTAAAAAACTTTTACCATGTCTACTCAGACTGCTGTAAGATCTTTCATCCATGATTTCAGCAGTCACTAAATAACATGACTAAGACTGCAAAAACAACAGGAAAACATAAGAAAATACAGTCAAATTGAAATAAATACATTTAGGATTAGCAGCAGGTAATTAAATATTTTAAAATATTATTAGGACTGTTGGGCATACACGCATGATTATTGCTAACAGCATGACACACTGATTATCATTTAGCCAGAGTAACTAAGCTATCAAAAAAAGCTTAGATTATTACTTCAAGAACACTAACTAAACTAACATCAAAATTCCTGCAGGAGCCTTACGATGTAAAATACTAAATATTTAACTATAATTTGTTAAGTAACAGCTGTATATGAAATATTTAAATTACAGGCCCCTATTATTAATACTTAACTTAATATACCCCAAATACAAATGCACTGCTTTAGCCTATATATCTGCTAGATCACACAAGCTGTGATGCAGAATGTAACAGTTTTGATGCGAAACACTGTGTCATTTTGAAAATTGGTTATTGGAGAGATATGCCACAGATGTATGTTGAATTTGGAAGGAATTGGCCTGAATAGTCTGCCATAATAGCATTGTTATTTGAATTCAGACTTAGTGGGCCCAAATAGCCCACAAATTTAGGGCTTAACAAATCAGTAGAGTAGTTCAGTATTTTTTTATGCACTATAAAATCATTTTTAAATTAAAACGGTAAGGGCATATAGATCTAGCCAACTTTGCAACAAAATAGGCTACATTTATATAAATTAGTAAATAGTTTAGACTAGATTAGACACAATGTTATTCAGTTTTTAATGTTTTAATTGTTACTGTCGTTTTGCTGTATAAATCTGCTCGCTAAACAGCTAAATCTAGTCAAATCTAGTTACTCTCATGTCACTCATGATATAGCATCAGAAATCATCCAGTATTGTTTGTTGAGTTTCATAAACGCTAGTTACTGTAAAAGTGTAAACTATAGGCCTACTCCTTAGTTTATTTGAGTGTTGAAATATAAATAAATAAAGTGTAGGCCTACTAAATTAATCTTTGAACTTAATTTTAAGTTTGATCAACAGAAGGAAACAGGCATAAACAGAAAATTAGCAATAAATAGTAGATTCTAGATCTAAATATGAATAACAAGTCAAGAGCAGTAACTACTGGTTTTTTTTAAGAAACACAAGATTTGCGACATTTCCTTAAAAATATGGTGTACAGTACTACCAGTGGATCCCGGAAAGGTGTGACTGATGGTGAGCCATTGTGCTACTGTTTTTTTTACATTTTTACTACTAAACCATTCCAGAATAATAACCGTCACCATAACAATTAACAAGAGATTACCCCAAATCGAGGGTAGTTTTAATAAGTTTAGTTTAGTCAAATGTAGCCCTACGCCTAATTTAATTTTGTAAAAAACAGCTTATATTTTAACAGAGAAAGCACTTTTCAGTAGATCTAGCTAGGCTGATGCCTACTTACAGATTTAGCAGTAGAGAAATCTAGATCTAGCCTAAAAACTGTAGGCCATAGGCCGCATAGCTATACTACCCTAACCGGCTAATTTAAACTAATTTTATTAGTAGGGTAAAGGAGGGCGTTAAGAGCCACACTTTTTAGCACCTGTACATTTTTAAAGACTTCTACTAATCTAAGAATTTTTTAGTATTGAAAATATGGCAAAATTATTCTAACATATCTTACACAATATAAAAACAATAACAAAGTGTATTAAATATACTTTAAATGGGTTTAATTGAACATTTATTGTCATACCCCCAAAATCAGCATTTGGGGTGAAAGGAGCCGGGCAATGGGGCATTAAGTATTATCTCCTAGTTTAGACTAACTCCGCAATAAAAATAATTAATTTCTAACCCCAAAATAGTTAATGCTGTGTACACACACTTTAACTGATACTAGCTATCACTAGGCCCCAATGGGCCCAGTCTACAATTGATACAATTGCAGGTGTACATAGGGCCTAAGCCCTAAAGTCTAGTACTTTACAGTAGGCACATTAGTATGCCTAGTGTGTAGCTAGTATACTAGTGTGTAACTGTCCAGAGTTAACATTCTTGTATGTAAAAAGGGGTGGTACTAACTAATCTGCCTTAATGCTTTCCCCTGATAAGCCATGTGTGCTATACATTACATAACATGACATGGAGGTGAGAAATGTTGAGGGGAGAGCAGTTGTACTGGTTTCCCCTTTGTTCTCCTTGCTGGACCCTGAGGGCCATAAATTACATAAGGAGATGCTATCTCTGGTTGGCTGAGATCTAAGAACTAAGTCCATGCTACCTACAAAGAGATAAGTTTTATGGTGGGTTAGATACAGGTGGGGGCTGGGTATCATGGGGGTGAGAAATTGTGAGGGGAGAGCAGTGGTACTGGTTTCCCCTTTGTTCTCCTTGCTGGACCAAGAGTGCCATAAATTACATAAGGAGATGCTATCTCTGGTTGGCTGAGATCTAAGAACTTAGTCCATGTTACCTACAAAGAGATGAAGTTTTATGGTGGGTTAGATACAGGTGGGGTCTGGCTATCATGGAGGTGAGAAATTGTAAGGGGAGAGCAGTGGTACCGATTCCTCTTTGGTCTCCACCCTGCTAGACCATGAAGGTCATATATTACATAACATGCCACCCCAGATTGTCTGAGATCTGTAACTGTAATCCATGTTACCTACAAAGAGATAAAGTATTATAGTGGGCCAGAAACTGGTGGGGGCTGGGTATCATGGGGGTAAGAAATTGTAAGGGGGGAGCAGTGGTATTAATGTGTCTGTTTACTTCCCTACTGGACCATGAGGGTCATAAATTACATAACATACCACCCCAGATTGGCTGAGACCTAAGAGCATTTATTCCTGTTACCTACAAAGAGATTGGAAGTTTTATGGTTGGTTAGAAACAGGTGGGGGCTGAGTCGGCTGTATTGCCCCTTAGGGGTAATAAGTACCTGTACCATCTTAAAAATAACCTTGCTAACATCAGATGGCTGAATTTTTACTTTTTAGCAGGTTAGAATTGTATTTCTATCATGTAGACACAAGTCTGTTTAATAATTAATACATTTTGTGTTAACTATTCCTATACCAGTGTCTTATTCAGTGGTCTAATAAATAAGAAACTTGCACTTAGGGTTTCAAGAGCCACATAACAGTATCTGTTATAACTTTTCTAAACAGGCAAGCTAGTGGACAAAATTAATGTATTCATGTAGATTTAGTTATTATCTAACAAATAAAACCATTATGGTAATGATCAGTCAAGTTTTACTCTGATAATGATAAAAACTTTATAGCATGGTAAAATGGGACAAATGTCGGCCATTTTGTTTTGGCACCAATAATCACTGTGCAAAAAAAATTCACCAAAATAAAACTATTCTAGCCATAGCTATAAAAATAGTGTTAAAATGTACAACAACCAATGCTCTAATACAGGAACAAAGAATGGGCTTGAAAAACTCATTTGGTTTATTACAAAGTAAAGTTTCCCAAGTTATGTCTATTTGGAAAAAAAGTTCACAAAATGGTTTTATGGAGATGAGAAATTTTAGGGAAAGAGCAGTGGGATTAAATCCTGTCTCATCCTCTCCCTATTGGACCAAATGGGTCATAAATTACATAAAATGAAACCTCTGCTTCTCTGTTATCAAAGAACAGCAGTGGTTGTTACCTCAGAAGTAGATTAGCAGTGTTATTGGGGGGTTTGTGGGGGTGGGGTGTTGATTGGGGCTTAATACCACACGGCTCTTAACGCCCTCCTTTACCCTAATATTACTAGGCCTATTAGTATTAGGCCTAAAATAAAAAAGAATTCTGAGTGGGTAAACTCAGTGAAGTAAAGTGGACTTACTCAACTGATAGATCTAGAACCTCTACAATACATCAGAAATCAGAAGAGTGGGTCTAGGACTCTAGAATTCTAGATTAAAAATCTTTAATCTGATAATGATAAATCTAGATTATTGTTGAATATTGTAGACTTGTAGATCTAGATTTTCTAGATGTACAATGTACACACTTTCACAACACAATCTTTTTAAATTTATACTTTTATCACAGTGGCAAACAATGACCAATATCTCAGATTACTGAGATTGATGTGATTTTGATATGATATCTACATCTAGTATTATCTAGATCAGTGATCAGACTGTCACTCACTCTAGACTAGATTTTTGCTTGAAAGAGTAGATCTAGGTCGTAAATCTATGCTTATCGACTAGATATCTAGATCTAGAATTAACTAGTCTGAAAAGCTATAGTATAGGCTAAGTATAGTGTGAGTAATTGTTAATCTAAGTCTCTAGATTCTACTAGACTACTAATCTAGTAACTAGTTCTAGATCTATGCGTAATCTTCTCTTGACTTGGGCTAATGAATCAGTAGCTTACCATTACTATGACGTCATTTCCTGCTTATTAGAGTAGATACCCCTGTCAGGAATACCTATTTTTTTTTTTAAACAGATGATCGCAGAAACGTTATTTATTTTAATCCCCTGAAATATTATTGCATTTCTTAATAAATGGCTGCGCATAAGTTCAAAACACCATCTTCTGCAAGAAGACATATAAAAATAGAACAGTTTTCTCAGTTTGTAAGGTAAACTATCAAACTTTTAAAGAAAAGACGAATGTTTTCTGGTGGTTACTAATGACGCCAGCGTTGCAGAAAGTCAGCACAGCAAGCAATAATGACATTATTTTTTAAAATGTTAGACTCTATATCTCTAGAATCTAGAAATCTAGATCTACTTAATTTTCATGTTGATGAAATGAGAATACAAATTATAATATGGGTCCAAAAGCATGTGTGTAAGTCGTGTGTAATTTAGTACTTTGGTTCTGCTGCAGACTTCAGTAGTATTGATTTCTAGTACTAGTTTAGTAACTACTAAGACTAAGTACTAGAATCTAGATTCAGTATTAGTTCTGTGACAGTACTGTGTTATCCATAGTAAACTGTGGCTGTTTAGTAGTAGTTAGTAGATTCTTTCCTAGATCTACTTATTAACTTAATACTCAATAATAGCAAGTTTAAGTTGGCAATTAGCTAACATTTAGGCTAGTTTTAGTCTTTTAGGTTGCTAGTATTATTATACTATTATAGGATAGAATAATTAAATGAATGGCTGATTGTAGCCGGAAAAAGATACACTTGCGCAATGGAGAGTAACTTCTGCCTTCATTCCCAGCGATGTTTTCGATGGTACTGTGCATGTGTGTATTTACAAACAAACCACAGAACCCTAACACTAACACTAGCCCTAACCCTAGCCCTAACCCTAGCGCAGATATTAAGGTCACTGCGCATGAACATAACTATTGAGTTTTGGATTTTATGCTTAAACATCTTTTTCCGAGTAGTCACTTTGTAAATTAATAGTCACAATAACAGAATAATGAATAATGTAATGTTAGATTGTTAGCTGTGAGATCTAGTTGATCTAAATCTAGGTAGCATTATTGTTTTTTATTGGAATATCAGGTTTTTAATAATTAAATATGATTATTAAATCTAGAATAATCAGAAACCAGATAAGGTTCATGGTAGGGCTTGGAACAGGTAGAATTGTCAGTAGCAAGTTAGAGATCTACTACTTTGTAACCACTACGTGTAACTAGTAACTAGTATTTAAGTACAACTAGTAGGCCTACTCAGCTACTGGTATCATGTTTATTTATTTTATACTACTAGTAAATACCCGTTTTAGATCTTGTCCAGATAAGCCAGCCAAAAAATTAACCCCTGCCGCCCCAAAAAAAGATTATAAGAAAGATATTTGTACATTTAGTTTTTAAACCTAACCCCAACGCTTACCCTAACCCTAGAGGGCAATTAATGAGTGACAGTTGTGTTTATAGTGTACGTTTAAATATTCAAATGACTAGGGAGCAGAGCTATCCCCCCCACCCCCCAATAAAAATGCAATAGAACATTATCCCAACCTGTTGATTATCCCAGCATATTATGGATGACGTTAGTAGTGTAAAAGTTTGAGATTTAGAATAAAGTTTGGTATCTGGATTTGGGTATGGTTAGTATAAGATGTGGGATAAGGATAGGGGTATGGTTAAGGTTTCAGATAGGGACTGGATTAAGTTATGGTTGAGGATAGGGATAAGAATAGGACAGGAAATGGATACAGATAAAGGTTAGAATTAGGGTAACAATGTAGACATAAAGTAATATTTCAATACCAAAGGTAAACATTGGTATGTAATAATAGCATACCTGTCCAGCCTTGCTGTGGTCTAGTCCCAATCCTAGATCTAGTCCTATACAGATTGACAAAACATTTTTAAGGCTTTCATCAACTGGGTATCAATTGTGTATTTTTAGAAATTTTAATTTTTTTTTCTTCTAAAAACTGAGTTATTTAAATGTAACAAAGCAAGGACATTATTTTTTGGATCATAGTTGTTGGGACACACACTTGCAGAGGCGTAGCGATGGGGGGGGGGGGGGGGGGGCAGGGGGGGTACATATGTCCCCGGGCACCGACCATAGGGGGTGCCAAAATGGGTTGTAAAACCAAATTAAAATGACATTTTAGCTGCATTTTTGCATTATAAATAGTTTGAGGAGGGGGGGGGGGGGGGGTGTAAATTGAAAGTTTGAGGGGGGTGCAAATCGAAAGTTTGAGGGTGAGGGGGGGGGGTGCAAATTGAAAATTTGTCCCCTGGCGCCGGCAAGGGTTGCTATGCCTCTGCACACTTGTTCACACTGCCACCTGTTAAACGAATGTGAATGATTTGAGTGTTTGTTAATCACGTTCCGTATTTCTGAGATGGAAAACTCCTTGGTGTCTGCCCTGGAATTAGGGGCATCATACACCACTCTCTGAAGCCACAGGTTACACTACTACATAAGTGCAGATGGGACCCCTGGTTTGGCTTAGTCATTGAATGACAGATGATTACCCTGGTTCAATTTAGTAAAAAATTATAGTAGGCCACCGTATCCATTGTGTGTATTGTCTGTCATTGTATTTTCAGTGCTACTCGATTAAGACATGTGCAAAACATTTTAGCTAATAGAAAAGCTGGATCAGCAGATATTGATGGCATTCTTTGTATATCTGGTAAGATAAAAATTACTGATATTTAATTAAATAAAACTAATATTGTATTTTAACTATAAAAAATTGCAAGACATTTGAAGTGGTTTTTGATATTTTTAAGGTAAAGTCTAGACTCAATTCCAAATGGCTATGTTTTCTATTTTTCATTATTTGATAAAAATTTTACTTGCCAAAAGGCATTTATTCTTATTGTTATTAACATTTTTATTAGGCGTTGACAGTCGCTACAATGAAGGGATGTATGAGCTACTCAATTATTTACTCTTTGGGTTCTTTGATGCTAGAAAAGAAGAGTTAGAAAGGTAATGTAAGAGTTAATTTTTTCTCGAAAAGTAAGTTTAGTTATAAACAATTATTTTTCTACAAGAAATTCTGAACCTCTTTTTCCCGTTGTCATACTCTTTCATAAAAATCTGAACACCCGGTCTGTCAAAGAGTGTGACATAATTCACGGACAGACCTAGTGGATAATTTAACGACAGATTGTGTTTATCACATTAACGAGTCTAAAGTTTGTCCATATATAATTGAAACAAGTTTGTCATACACAACTAAACTTAACAATAAGTAAACAAAAATAAAAATTAATGGCAAATGTTTTTGGTAGAGATAGACAATACAAACTATTATGTCCACCCACTCATACTCGTTTAAAATATGTTTACACAGCTCAGGATTTGCTGAGGAAGTTATTGAAGGTAAACCTTTTAGTATACTACTAATTTATTAAAACTTTAATATAAGATTAAAAGGGCAAGAAAGCAAAAAAATTTTGTTTTATAATTCTATCTTAAATAAAAAAAAAATTTCTTAAATAAATTTTTTACAGAAGATTTTTTATATCGTATTATCTTCTTTAATTTGACAGATTTGATGATACTAATATGTAGTGACAGAGTTGAAGTATACTGCAATCCAGTCAATTACCATTATTTCCTCCCATATGTTAGCCACTGGCCTGGGCTAGTATTTCATTGTTTAACAGAGGATGAGGTAAGGGTTAGAAAACTTTGTTTAAAACTGGTGTAGACCCTGTAGATGTTGATATATTTGATGCTTTGGTTATTGAACTCGCAGCAAAGCTTGTTAGGGGGCAGATAAAGGGAGAAAAAAACGTTTGATTCTAAACAATTAAATTTTTTGATTCCCTTACCCCCTGTCGCTCTTCTTGGCTAGTTATGTGTTAGTCATTTCTATGGTTGTTCCCCTTTTTGAGTTATAGATAGACAAACTTGGTTTATTATTATTATTTGACAAAATACTGGGTTTCAGTACAATAGGGAAGATGATGATACTGTTGAAGAGTTTAAGATTCGATCCTTGATTGCTATGGTTGGTTCATTCAAAGTGATTGGATTACCGTTCAGTGGAAGAGGTCAGTGGATTATTACATAAGCTAACATTTTAGTGGAAAAGCTTCTGGATTGGTGATACTTTAAATTTTAATAGTCAATGAATCATCATCTTTAGAAAAATATTGGTTCACCATAAAATAAAATAATATTAAGTGGAAATGTAGTATATTACCATAGAAATAAAATTTGATAAAATTATTATAATAGATAACATTAAAACAACATGTAAATGATGCATTATATATTAAATAAAATAGTTTAGTTGCTTTTATATCTGTTTTGTTATCATTAAGTTCATCCTTCATTTGCTTCTTTCATGAATTGATGCAGAAATGTGTTCAATTTTTCCACCAGGCCAGGAAGCACCATTCAATGTAATGGCAATAGAGAAATGGCCTATCATACAAGCTTTTGCCCTGGATGATTTTGGAGGGTGAGTGAATGTAATTGTAAATTCAACACCATAGCTCAAATTATAATTTAAAAAGGTGTTCAATTATTTATGTATATAATTAAACATAATTGAGTTTTTAAAAAAAATATTGACACAATTTTAATTAACCACTTAATTTAGCATCATGTTGCAAGGATACAATGACCTCTTTATAGATCATTGCCACAGAAACAGATTTTGCCCTATTGACCCCCTGGCCAGAAAGTCTTGGCTTTTTTTACTTTTCATTTTATTTTTGAAAATAGGAAATTAATTTTAAAACGTCATTTGAAAAAGAAAAGCTTGGTCATATTGAAAATATGGCCGGGCTATTTAGTGCATGACTGCCAACCCAATATTTAGATCCCAAAATCCACCCAGATCTGATGGGTACCTGACTCACGTTAAGGAAAGTAATGGCGGCTGGGCATAGAACTAACCACACTTGCTACATATGAAGAGGTTACAGAAGCAGGTGAACTCTACTCCACTTCTATTGATCCTCTGTCGTCTGGTCTGTGAGATTATCTTGACATTTTAATTTTTAATTTCTAATATTAAGACATTTGTTTAAACACAACTAAATAACTGTCGAAAGTAATTAACTAAGCACTCTAGTGATATAAGTTTTTATTTTTATTATAATCTCCTGTATAGTAATGATGATTTAATTGTGGATTAAATATTAAGTAAAATTTTTAACAAATTTTTAAGGCTAAAAAGAACTTTGATTTTAAATATTATCCTTTTGATTTGTCATCTAACTAGATATTTTATTACCACTTTCAATAACATTTTCTTCCTAAAATACTTCTTCCACATGTTTTAAGGATGAAATTTCAAACCTCTATAATTTTCAAAATCCCAACATGTGTTTTTGGCTTTTATTTCTAATGCTGAATTAGATTTACCTATAAAAAATATAACATTAAACTTAACGACTTTTTGTTTAAAAATGAAGAATTTTTATGTAAGATGATTAAATTTTATAAGCCGATTAAAAAATAAACTCTTCAACATTATAATAGGAAAATGTTTGAAAGTTGAAAATACAGTCCTTAAGCTCTTTGAAAGTTGTTTTAGATTCATGCTTAGGATTGGATTTCAAATTAACTTATTTAACTTTTAAATGTTTTCTGCCTAGATGTTATAGTATGAGAGTTTCAACTAATATTTTTTATAATAGATCTGGTTAAAAAATATAAAATATAAAATTTTTAATTTTAACTGAATTGTTTTTTTTTTCCGTCTCTTTTCAGAGGAGGATTTTTTTCTCTAAAATTCGAGGTTTGTTGCTCATGGGTCATGTCAAATTTTCCATTGCTTTATGTAATGTACTTCTTTGTTCTAAAAATAACAATTGCTTAGGTAAGTAATAACTGAAGAATATGTTATCACAAAGAACAATGGTAAATGCTTTTAATAATAGATAAATATATGTCATGGTAAAAGCATCTTAATAGTTTTTGATGGCAAATGCACTTCAATATATATTTGTTATAAATTTATCTCAACCCTGTTTAACAGCCATATCAATTGAAAGTATTGAGTTGTCTAATGGTTGTCTTTCTAGTGCTCCACACTCCTAATTTTACAAGCACAATATAATTAGAAACTACACTTTGTAAACTTTATTTTTTTTTGTTTAAACTTTATATAGAGTAGGTATTGCTAAAAAAAATTTAAATGAGATTTTGACAATTCTTGCTGTTTTGTAATTGCTCAAGACATTGAAATCAAGATATTGTAAAATCTATGTTTTACACCATACTGAGCTGAAAAAACAATTTTGTATGTATGTCTTTGTGTGTGTTATGATGTATGTTTCACTAGGCAAATAGGTACGCATGAATGCTGGTTTGAAGCTATAATATTGAACGAGTGAAAGTGTGACACGGTACGCAAGAAAGTGACATTTAAGTGTAGGTTCGTTGTTGCCGGGGAAGAAGCTTCAAGTAGTCTTGTTGTTGTTGTGTTAGGGTGAGGTTGTCCAGTCTTAGTATCATTTTTTCAAGTCGTCCGATGTATATATTATAGTGCAATAAATAGAAACAGTAACCAATGTCATCCTGTCAAATCCTTTGTATGCGTTGATGTTGTCGTGTTTCAAGATGGACTATTAAATGGATAGACATAATAAAATGGTAGTGGTATCTGAATACTATATTGGATCAAGTAGTTCTACCCTCTTACTGCATAGCTGTGCGACACATAGAACCCAGTTATAACAGTGTGTGTGTCTTTAAACATGATAACTTGAGTACTATTTCATTTTAAGTTGATGAAATTTGATTAAGTATTAAATCCAGTTTGCAGTTTTCTTTCAACTTTTGAGCACTGTCTGGTAATCTGATGTGGTACTTACTCTACTTCCAGTTTCTCAAAAGCTGATAACTTGAGTACCATTTAAGCTATTAGCTCCTGTACATAGATTTTGTTCAACTTTTAAATGATTTGTGGTAACCAGAAGGGGTATATTACAGATGTCTCAAAAGCCTTCAGAATTTGATGTGCCACTTGATGCATCATCCCTCTACCTGTTATAAAATAGTTTAACCAGAAAGTGTAGGGGAGCTCACTCCCAACATTTTTTTTCTTTCTGACAATAATAGGTAATTAACATTAACATTACTATTAATTAATAATGTTTTCAGGTAATTGACATTAGCTCTCAAGTCCACCATCTGCAGGACTTCCAAGATCCAGTTTCTGTTGAGCATTTACTGACTGAGGTGAGTTTATCTAACTTAACTGTTATTCTAAGCATAGAGGAGTTTGTTTTATTTCAATTTAATACATCTCATATCCTGATTAATGTAACTATAAAATGTAATCTTAGCCAGATGTGATAACTATTCCATGAAATTAGTTACAAAATAATTGTCTACCCATGTTACAGCACTTTTCACTGATGGCTAGACAATGGGACAACATGATGAAATGTGTTCAATTATCTTTGTAAGTTACTTTTGATGTTCATATCCGTTTTAATATATACTCAGTGCTGGCACCAGGTTATTTAGCGCCCTAGGCAAAACTTATTAAAACGCCCCCTTTCACACAAATTAATTACTAAAACATATGTATAAGAAAACAAATTAAATTAAAGTGACATATTAATTTATTATCAATTGCATAGGCCTACACATTATAAGTAGACATCAAAATCAAATTTTACTTGCCTTCACGTCTCAAAAGTTTGTACAAATTCATTCAATTCCGGTTTGCAAGCGTAATCACATTTTATTGAAATTGATGCTAAGTTCACGAATCTACTTTGTACTTTATGACATAGCCCCCCCTTCCCCCTTTTACAAAATTTTAAGTGCTCCCCTCCCCTTCCTGGGAGAAAAAAGTCTGGAAAAAAAACACTAAAAAAGTTCTTGTAGTGTTGGGCTATCTGCAGTCCTCCCAAGATGAGTTCCAAAACTTACCTATTTTAAGCTTGACTGTCTTTAGTTATAATTGTAAAATGACTATATTGTGTGATTATGTAACAATTTTTTTTGTTTTTGAAAAATAAAAGGTAATAATGTTATAGATTCCATCCTAAAATTGGTATATGTTAATCCTTAAGGAGAGGGTGAAAAATATGTCTTCTAACATTAAGTATTGCAATCTACAGCTACTGATGTATTTGTTTTTCATCTTGATAATGCTAAAAAAAACCTACCAAACTATTTAGTTTAGAACTTAAGCTCTATATAATTTTTACAATAGCAAATAATAAGTTAAAGTTGTATTTATTTGTAAGCGGTCAACCCAAGGTGCAGGAATTTGAAATGAATGTAAAGTTAAGCAGCGAATTATCTCCCATTTGAAAATCCAAATAACAAATTTTATTCAAGGGAAATAACTTTCCCAAGAATAGCTAAATTAACCATGTATAACTAAGACATGTTTGAAAAACACAATAAAACGCTATAAATTTCATTACGTAATAATTATAACAAATCTTTTACATTAGCTATGTAACCTTGTGAAAACAATATATTTTATTTATTGAATACTTAACTGTAGGTTTTATTTGAAAGTCTAAAAATGGTTGCTTTATTATAACATACTTCTATTTAAGTTTGATGACATACATTAATTTGACGTAGGTAGGCCTACATGGCCAATTTATATAACATTTTGGATCCCCAAAATAAAGGGATGTCCTTCAAAAAATCAAACTGGGGTAACTGTTTAAAACATTGCTAGAATTATTGATTCAATATAAAAATTTATAATTAAAAAAAAAAAAAGTTACAAATTCTATCGTATTTAAAATTCTATGTTAACGAGATAAATGGCCCGTTGAGGGAGAGATACAATGGGCGCTAGGTTGATAGTGATGTTTTTTTCTCTAAACCAAAACCAAAATCACCACCTCCACCCCTTCAACGAAATACAATGCATATATAAAATATATACTTTTACCAGGGTCCAAACCCTCCCAGGAAATTTAGTCCGCCCCCACCCCCGAATATTTCAAGTACCTTCCCCCCCCCCCGGGGAGAAAAATGTCTGAAAGAAACACTGGTCGCATTTGTAGCTTATACAGACTAAAGGTAGAGCCTACTTCTATAATATAGACCTGTTCCCTGCTTTTGGCCAATAAACCTCACTCACACAGACAGTGTTTCTTTCAGACCCTTTTCCCGGGGTGGGGCACTTGAATACAATCCACTGGGGCAGGGGAGGCTGACACTGATATAAGTATATATTCTCTATATAAATTATATTTCACTTGGGGGGGGGGGGGGGGTAAGACTTTCTACCAAGGAGTGATGCATAAAAGAAACTGCACGCAAAACACTTTTAAGATTAGACACATAATTAGGCCGTAATGTCAAGTCTTTTTATTATAGAGTATCGATGACATCATTTCTTTGGGGGGGGGGGGGGGGGAAGAGGGCGACTTAGATGTTCTTATGAGGGGGGGGGGCCTTGTCCCTACCCAAAGAATTGCATGAAAGAAACTCTGCACGCACACCACTTTTAAGATTAGACAAAATTGGCTTTTTAATTTATTGTTTACTCGAGAATCAATTTATGTCATATAAGTGTGTGTACTTTTCAGGCTTTAGAAAATTTTCTACTATATGTTCCATGTGATGTCATTTTTCGTTTTACTGTGCATGTTTTTACTCTGCTTGTCTTTTCTCTATAGTAAAAGCATTCTTGACAGATACATAGATACATACACAGATAGACAGACAGCGAAACTATTATTATAGATATTTTAAGAGTGGTAATTTTAATATTTTAGGAATCTATATTACCACTCTTAAAATATCTATAATAATAGTTTCGCTGTCTATCTGCAGAATTGATAGTTCGTCTTGATAGATCGCTACTCCTTTATAAAAGTTTTTATTATTAGGTACTTATTGATAATAGGGATTAAACCTTTGGCTCATGAAACATCTCACTATCTTCTTTTTCGTTGTTCTTAATATTACATGGATTTTCTCCAACACAATTAAGAATGATATGTCCACATATCATGTGCCACATGGGCCATGGACTCTTTTGTTTATGTCTGATCATTTGGTTCAAATGATCCATGTATAACTCAGCTTTAAATCATTTCACTCTGCCTAATTCTCTAGGTTAAAAAGTAAAAAAGTGTCATTCATGATCTCTGCTTGTAACAATGTCAACTTTTATCTCCATTCAGGGAATCTTCTTCATCTGTTTTGTCTCAGAAAAAGGTTACAGAGGTAAGTGTATTTGTTGCAGAAGTGAGTTGTTTTTTACAGTGGTAACTTATTTGTTTGCTGTGGTAGATAAGTTTTTTTGTTCCAGTGGTGAGTCTGTTGTTTGTTACATAAGTAAGTACATTATTTTTACAGTGGTAAGTAAAATAATTGTTCAGGTGGTTACTTGGTTGTTTGTTACATTGATGAGTCAGTAATTTGTTAGGGTGGTGAGTCAGTTGTTTGTTACCTTGGTGACTTGTTTATTAAGATGGTGAGTAATCACTTTGTTATGGTAGAAATTCAGTTAATTATTATGATGGCGAGTCAGTTGTTTGAAACAATTCTTTTATATCAACATAAGCACTGTGGATTTATTGTATGTCAAATGTGTATATCACTTTATGAACATTTCTAAAGATTTAAAAAAAATGCTTCAGAAGTGTATAAAAAATTACTAAAATTTTAAAAATATGTCTGCATTATTTGAACAAAAGATTTTACTCAAATGTGGTGGTCAGGGTGACCTCCACTTAAAAACAAGTCTGGCATGCAATTTTACTTTAATGAATGCAAATATTCAAGTCTTTTTTATAGCTTATATACAAAAAATGGCTGTCTGAAGACCATACTCTTTTCAAATTCTGACATTTTTAAAAAAAGTTCAGACAAAATTTTTTATTAAAAAACCCATCTGGGGCGTTGATACAAAACTATATATCCTTGCAGATTGTTTGTCTAGAATTTCGTTCATTCCCATATGTCAGAATGACACTAATAACGATTTGAAAGTCAAACTGCATAGATCTCATATATCTAATTAATTTAAAACACAAGTTGATAGAAATGGGTTGTCTGGGTAGCCCTCAGACCTTGTTTCATTAGCTGGATATTTTCATGCTCCGAGATCCTATTTCATCATTCCACTTAAATTTCAAGTGTCTGCTGCAGATTTCTTTATTTTTCTAAAACAGGGAATGGCACGGGTTCACCATGACCATTCTTTATGCATTTCTGAAAAAAACACCACCATTTTTAATAACTTTTATGCACTCAAACACTAGACATTTTGCTTTTACCTTAGACTTTTTGTTTTATATACACTCTCTTTATACCATAATGCTGGACAAAACTTGTACTGTTCTCATTAATTGTTTTCATATAGTATCAAATTTCAAGTAATTAGGCATAAATATTTAAACATTATGATTAAGTTTTTTCCAAACAAGTGCTCTGGGTTCAAATCCTGGTCTTAGCGGACATTATAGTTCAAAACTAAGTAAGATAAGAGGTCCCTATGTTTAGGTCAGATGTAGAGAAGGTCCGTATGTTGAGGTCAGATGTAGAGTCTCTATGTTAAGGTCAGATGTAGAGAAGGTCCCTATGTAGAGGTCAGATGTAGAGAAGGTCCGTATGTTGAGGTCAGATGTAGAGAAGGTCCCTATGTTTAGGTCAGATGTAGAGAAGGTCCGTATGTTGAGGTCAGATGTAGAGAAGGTCCCTATGTTGAGGTCAGATGTAGAGAAGGTCCCTATGTTGAGGTCAGATGTAGAGAAGGTCCCTATGTTGAGGTCAGATGTAGAGAAGGTCCCTATGTTTAGGTCAGATGTAGAGAAGGTCCGTATGTTGAGGTCAGATGTAGAGAAGGTCCCTATGTTGAGGTCAGATGTAGAGAAGGTCCCTATGTTGAGGTCAGATGTAGAGAAGGTCCCTATGTTAAGGTCAGATGTAGAGTCCCTATGTTGAGGTCAGATGTAGAGGTCCCTATGTTAAGGTCAGATGTAGAGAAGGTCCCTATGTTTAGGTCAGATGTAGAGAAGGTCCGTATGTTGAGGTCAGATGTAGAGAAGGTCCCTATGTTGAGGTCAGATGTAGAGAAGGTCCCTATGTTGAGGTCAGATGTAGAGTCCCTATGTTAAGGTCAGATGTAGAGAAGGTCCCTATGTAGAGGTCAGATGTAGAGAAGGTCCGTATGTTGAGGTCAGATGTAGAGAAGGTCCCTATGTTGAGGTCAGATGTAGAGAAGGTCCCTATGTTGAGGTCAGATGTAGAGAAGGTCCCTATGTTAAGGTCAGATGTAGAGAAGGTCCATATGTTGATGTCAGATGTAGAGAAGGTCCCTATGTTAAGGTCAGATGTAGAGAAGGTCTCTATGTATAGGTCAGATGTAGAGAAGGTCCCTATGTTGAGGTCAGATGTAGAGAAGGTCCCTATTTTGAGGTCAGATGTAGAGTCCCTATGTTAAGGTCAGATGTAGAGAAGGTCCCTATGTTGAGGTCAGATGTAGAGGTCCCTATGTTTAGGTCAGATGTAGAGAAGGTCACTATGTAGAGGTCAGATGTAGAGAAGGTCCTTAAGTTGGGGTCAGATGTAGAGAAGGTCTCTATGTTGAGGTCAGATGTAGAGAAGGTCCCTATGTTGAGGTCAGATGTAGAGAAGGTCCCTATGTTAAGGTCAGATGTAGAGTCCCTATGTTGAGGTCAGATGTAGAGGTCCCTATGTTTAGGTCAGATGTAGAGAAGGTCCGTATGTTGAGGTCAGATGTAGAGAAGGTCCCTATGTTGAGGTCAGATGTAGAGAAGGTCCCTATGTTAAGGTCAGATGTAGAGTCCCTATGTTGAGGTCAGATGTAGAGGTCCCTATGTTAAGGTCAGATGTAGAGAAGGTCCCTATGTTTAGGTCAGATGTAGAGAAGGTCCGTATGTTGAGGTCAGATGTAGAGAAGGTCCCTATGTTGAGGTCAGATGTAGAGAAGGTCCCTATGTTGAGGTCAGATGTAGAGTCCCTATGTTAAGGTCAGATGTAGAGAAGGTCCCTATGTAGAGGTCAGATGTAGAGAAGGTCCGTATGTTGAGGTCAGATGTAGAGAAGGTCCCTATGTTGAGGTCAGATGTAGAGAAGGTCCCTATGTTGAGGTCAGATGTAGAGAAGGTCCCTATGTTAAGGTCAGATGTAGAGAAGTTCCATATGTTGAGGTCAGATGTAGAGAAGGTCCCTATGTTAAGGTCAGATGTAGAGAAGGTCTCTATGTATAGGTCAGATGTAGAGAAGGTCCCTATTTTGAGGTCAGATGTAGAGTCCCTATGTTAAAGTCAGATGTAGAGAAGGTCCCTATGTTGAGGTCAGATGTAGAGGTCCCTATGTTTAGGTCAGATGTAGAGAAGGTCCTTAAGTTGGGGTCAGATGTAGAGAAGATCCCTATATTGAGGTCAGATGTAGAGAAGGTTCTTAAGTTGGGGTCAGATGTAGAGAAGGTCTCTATGTTGAGGTCAGATGTAGAAGTCCCTATGTTTAGGTCAGATGTAGAGAAGGTCCCTATGTTGAGGTCAGATGTAGAGAAGGTCCCTATGTCGAGGTCAGATGTAGAGAAGGTCCCTTTGTTGAGGTCAAACGTAGAGAAGGTCCCTATGTCGAGGTCAGATGTAGAGAAGGTGCTTATGTTGAGGTCAGATGTAGAGAAGGTCCCTATGTTAAGGTCAGATGTAGAGTCCCTATGTTAAGGTCAGATGTAGAGAAGGTCCCTATGTTGAGGTCAGATGTAGAGAAGGTATCTATGTTTAGGTCAGATGTAGAGAAGGTCCCTATGTTAAGGTCAGATGTAGAGAAGGTCCTTAAGTTGGGGTCAGATGTAGAAAAGGTCCCTATGTTGAGGTCAGATGTAGAGAAGGTCCCTATGTTGAGATCAGATGTAGAGAAGGTCTCTATGTTGAGGTCAGATGTAGAGAAGGTCCTTAAGTTGGGGTCAGATGTAGAAAAGGTCCCTATGTTGAGGTTAGATGTAGAGAAGGTCCCTATGTTGAGGTCAGATGTAGAGAAGGTCCCTATGTTGAGGTCAGATGTAGAGTCCCTATGTTGAGGTCAGATGTAGAGAAGGTCCCTATGTTGAGGTCAGATGTAGAGAAGGTCCCTATGTTAAGGTCAGATGTAGAGTCCCTATGTTGAGGTCAGATGTAGAGAAGGTCCTTAAGTTGGGGTCAGATGTAGAGAAGGTCCCTATATTGAGGTCAGATGTAGAGAAGGTTCTTAAGTTGGGGTCAGATGTAGAGAAAGTCTCTATGTTGAGGTCAGATGTAGAGAAGGTCCCTATGTTGAGGTCAGATGTAGAGAAGGTCCCTATGTAGAGGTCAGATGTAGAGAAGGTCCCTTTGTTGAGGTCAAACGTAGAGAAGGTCCCTATGTCGAGGTCAGATGTAGAGAAGGTGCTTATGTTGAGGTCAGATGTAGAGAAGGTCCCTATGTCGAGGTCAGATGTAGAGAAGGTCCCTATGTTAAGGTCAGATGTAGAGAAGGTCCCTATGTCGAGGTCAGATGTAGAGAAGGTCCGTATGTTGAGGTCAGATGTAGAGAAGGTCCCTATGTTGAGGTCAGATGTAGAGTCCCTATGTTGAGGTCAGATGTAGAGAAGGTCCCTATGTTAAGGTCAGATGTAGAGAAGGTCCCTATGTCGAGGTCAGATGTAGAGAAGGTCCGTATGTTGAGGTCAGATGTAGAGAAGGTCCTTAAGTTGGGGTCAGATGTACAGAAGGTCCCTATATTGAGGTCAGATGTAGAGAAGGTCCTTAAGTTGGGGTCAGATGTAGAGAAGGTCCTTATGTTGAGGTCAGATGTAGAAGTCCCTATGTTTAGGTCAGATGTAGAGAAGGTCCCTATGTCGAGGTCAGATGTAGAGAAGGTCCCTATGTTGAGGTCAGATGTAGAGAAGGTCCCTATGTCGAGGTCAGATGTAGAGAAGGTCCCTATGTTGAGGTCAGATGTAGAGAAGGTCCCTATGTTGAGGTCAGATGTAGAGAAGGTCCCTATGTTGAGGTCAGATGTAGAGAAGGTCCCTATGTTGAGGTCAGATGTAGAGAAGGTCCCTATGTTAAGGTCAGATGTAGAGTCCCTATGTTAAGGTCAGATGTAGAGAAGGTCCCTATGTTGAGGTCAGATGTAGAGGTCCCTATGTTTAGGTCAGATGTAGAGAAGGTCTCTATGTTGAGGTCAGATGTAGAGAAGGTCCCTATGTTGAGGTCAGATGTAGAGAAGGTCCCTATGTTGAGGTCAGATGTAGAGAAGGTCCCTATGTTGAGGTCAGATGTAGAGTCCCTATGTTGAGGTCAGATGTAGAGTCCCTATGTTGAGGTCAGATGTAGAGAAGGTCCTTAAGTTGGGTTCAGATGTAGAGAAGATCCCTATGTTGAGGTCAGATGTAGAGAAGGTCCCTATGTTGAGGTCAGATGTAGAGAAGGTCCCTATGTTGAGGTCAGATGTAGAGTCCCTATGTTAAGGTCAGATGTAGAGAAGGTCCCTATGTAGAGGTCAGATGTAGAGAAGGTCCCTATGTTGAGGTCAGATGTAGAGAAGGTCCTTAAGTTGGGTTCAGATGTAGAGAAGATCCCTATGTTGAGGTCAGATGTAGAGAAGGTCCCTATGTAGAGGTCAGATGTAGAGAAGGTCCCTATGTCGAGGTCAGATGTAGAGAAGGTCCCTATGTTGAGGTCAGATGTAGAGAAGGTCCCTATGTTGAGGTCAGATGTAGAGTCCCTATGTTGAGGTCAGATGTAGAGAAGGTCCCTATGTTGAGGTCAGATGTAGAGAAGGTCCCTATGTTGAGGTCAGATGTAGAGAAGGTCCCTATGTTGAGGTCAGATGTAGAGTCCCTATGTTGAGGTCAGATGTAGAGAAGGTCCCTATGTTGAGGTCAGATGTAGAGAAGGTCCCTATGTTGAGGTCAGATGTAGAGAAGGTCTCTATGTTGAGGTCAGATGTAGAGAAGGTCCCTATGTTGAGATCAGATGTAGAGAAGGTCCCTATGTTGAGGTCAGATGTAGAGAAGGTCCCTATGTTAAGGTCAGATGTAGAGAAGGTCCGTATGTTGAGGTCAGATGTAGAGAAGGTCCCTATGTTGAGGTCAGATGTAGAGGAGGTCTCTATGTTGAGGTCAGATGTAGAGAAGGTCTCTATGTATAGGTCAGATGTAGAGAAGGTCTCTATGTTATGACAAAAGGATAGAATGTCCTGAGTTAAAGTCAGATGGAGTGAAAGTACCAGTGTCCAACTAGGTCAGCTTTAGAGAAGTTCAGGTCCATGTATGTCAGATAATACCCTAACAATCATGTTAATCGTGACCTTTTTTCCCACAGCCTATAAGAAGTTATTTTCTACATGGTCTGGTTGGGCACAAAGGGAAGTAAGTATTTTTGTTCATTTGTTATTTTTGTTGAGATTATCTTCTCCTTAAAATTGCTTGCCTTAACTTTGGTTGTCTTTTACTTTTCTGTAATACGAGTTACAAAAAGGAAGTATTGTAAAAGTGCTAAAAAAATAATGAAATAGAAATTGAGATTTTGATAAATCTTAAGTTTAAAATCTTGTTTACAACTTACGGAGTCGTAAATAAGTTTTGCAATCGTGTATGTGCGCGTGTGTGTGTGTTTTTGTCTGCGTGTGTGAACCCGATAACGCGAGTAAGCCCTACCGTTTTAGGGAGGTGTTCTGTATTTCATATATAAGTATAAGCTCCTATGCTAAGTTTTCTTTTAACTCTTGAACGATGTCTGGTAACCGGAAGTGGTACTTATTTCTATTTCCGGCTCCTCGGAAATTTTAGTTTTATATTCTATTCTAATAAAGCAGTACACTCTGTTAACCTTTTGCTCTAATTTATCTACCAGTTCTATAGCCCGATTCCACAGGACGTGCTATCCCAAACTCAACCGGTATATACGAATATGTACGAGAATATCTATTGAAGCTCACTTGCTTTATTGGTCTATAAGTAGCGATTTTAGCTCTGAACTCAATGCAATAGCTTATATATATATATATATATATATATATATATATATATATATTATATATATATATAATTATATATATATAATTATATATATATAATCAGTGGCGTAGCGAGGTCGGGTGTCACCCGGTGCGGCACTTAATGGTGTCACCCCCAGAGGCGTAGCGACAAATTTTCGATTTGTACCCCCCCCCCCCCCTCATACTTTCGATTTGCACCCCCCCTCAAGTTTTTGTCTATATATTTTGCTATTTTTTGCCTTGGTGTCACCCCCCTAAATGGTGTCACCCGGTGCGGTCCGCACCCCCGCCCCCCCTTGCTACGCCTCTGTATATAATTATATATATAATTATATATATATAATTATATATATATAATTATATATATATAATTATATATATATATAATTATATATATATAATTATATATATATATATATATATATATATATAATTATATATATATATATATATATATATATATATATATATATATATATATATATATATAGGGACACCTTTTAACCCTTTTCAATCCATTATAAAACTCTGCCTACGCCCTTGAGTGGTATCCCATTTCAGAGAATATAAATGTAACAACGTATGTGGGAGTTTATACCTGGTGTGTATGTCAGTGTGTAACGTAAGCTGTTTGCTAGCCTGGAAGTTTTTCAATTATTCTTTACAAAATCGGGGTATTTACCCAGTGTATAAACGAGGTTAATTGGCGAATCTAAGACGTGACGTAAAGACCACGTGACAAACCCTATCGTTTTAGCACGTGAGAGGAAGCCGATTAAATTTTCGTTTCTATAAATAAACCTAGGCTTAGACAGTGTCAGGTGACACCCGTCTGAATGTCGCGACATTCAATTCCCCCCTCCCCCCACCTCCTGGCATCTGATCCAGCAAAGGGTGAAATTTCAGACCTTCTCAGTATAACGTCATGTTTATATTAGTCATTTGACATTCCGATAGGTCTAATATTACTTGAAAGAGGCCCGTGATTACGACATACCTTTTTTGTTAATGATTCATCCGATGTTTTATGTGTACCGACGCTATCGTTTTGATGATATCACTTTATATGAATCATCTGTTATGTCTTTATATATATATATATATATATATATATATATATATATATATATATATATATATATATATATATATATATATATAACAATATATGTATATATACATATATATATATATATATATATATATATATATATATATATATATATATATATATATATATATATATATATATATATATATATATATATATATATATATATATATATATATATATATATATATATATATATATATATATATATATATATATATATATATATATATAAAACAATATATATTGTTATATAGCGTCCAGTTATATATACAATATTACGGAACACATCACATGCTGTTATTAGCTTTACAAAGTGGGGCGTGAGATGCGGGCCGTACTTGTTGACACCATTTAGAGGGTAATACCAAACTTTTTAAACATGTTTTTTAAAAATATATTTATAATTTTTTTTCTGTGTTTGCAACAATGATTTTTTACCCAATTAAATAATAAAATACTAGGAGTAGATGATTGACATCGAAACTAAAAATTAAAAATTGTTGGAAGAGGGGTGGGGTGACACCCACATTTACCGTACCGGATGACACCCAGCATAGTTACGCCCCTTCAGTTCTCTCACACTAACCAAGATAACATTATGTTTCCTCTATAAGTTTACCAACATTTTATAAATCAAACTACTTCTCGTCTTGACGTAATGGTTCTTTTTGTAGTGAGTTAAGAACTACGTTTCTTACTTTTATCTATATAGATGCAGGTATATTTCATGCTTTAAAGATATTTTGATAAACTGGGAAAACACATAGAGCTCAAGTTTAGAGTTAAAAAATACTGGTAAAATATTATGATGAATACTAGATATCCAAGAACATAAATAGTGTTAAGGTTGGTGTTTATAAGTGCTGTTAAAATATGTAGTTAAAATTCCAAATACCACATAAAGCACAATCTGACTGAGCTAAGCTGAATAGGATACGCGTATCTTGTTTTAAACATACTAAGGTGGTGACAAAATCAATCTACTTCATTAAGAATATACATTTTGTTTGGTAAACTTCACCCTTTACAAATCTGAAGAAAAAATTGGTTAGTAGTCATAATCGGCCAAAGCGTCGCATGCGATGGCGGGTACACAGTACCTGTGGTGCTAATTACCCGCTCTTGTCGAGACGAGCTTACCGACATCTATAATCATACTTCTTTTATTGAGACTAGTGTTTAGACCTAGATTTTACTTGTTTACCTTCTCCCATTTTAGATGATAATTTTTTTCTTCTTATTTATCTTTGTAAGGCTTTTATAAACTTTATGCACACATTTTTCTATATTATCAATAGACTTTTACTTTTACATCTTTTCTTTTAGAAGAAAGATAACTACAAGGTTTGAAGATCTAAAAAAAAAACCCACTTCAGTTCTAAAGAGGTGTAGTTTGTGGTCATACATGATCTGATTTTGTTAATAGTTAACGGGAATCAGTTCACGGGAAAAATGCCTTGCCCCATAACGGACACAAAACTTAAATAATTGTATGCAAGTATTGGTCAACTCTTTCAGTTTTATAAAATAAAGGACCCTGCATCAATTAAATTAGCGGTAGGCTGAACCTATATCCATCGATAGGGCCTCAGTCTTCAAGTTAGAATCTCTTCGTGGCTTTTCCGACATATTCTGGCTTATACCGTGGCTTTTCCATTTACTGATAAGCTATAGATTATAGATGGACCAATGCAGTTTTGACAACATTTGAACGAGGTGGTCATATTACAACTTCCAAGGTTTTAAAATGACCAATGTTCTCTGCATAGAAATAAGTCATGTGTGCTAAAAATAGTATTTTTACCATCCTTGGGTATTAATTTGCTTCATCCGTGTTACTATATGGTCTCATGTGCCGGCAATTAGCACAGTTTTTTTAAAATTGGTTCTAATTACCGCGCTCTACTCCATAAAATGTACACATTAAAACCTTAATTGTCTTTTGTCTAGTTTACAACAAAGACCGCTTCAACGTAAAAATAAACTTTTACCGACTTTTAAATTTTTAAAAACTTTTCCCCCCCAGGGAACACGAATTACCCACTTGCACTGCACATAACACTCACCGTAGTAGTAGGTTTATTGTATCCACATTTGTAGGGACAAGTGGCTTGGTGGTTGGCGGGTCTCTAGCTGTATTTATTATTACCTCCCTTCCTAAGCTTACTTTATACAGTACATCCAAGGGAGGTAAATTTAAGTTTATTTGCTGAAACTAATTATATCTATTATAAAAGCACAAATAACAAAATTTAACAAGTCTAATATTTTTTTTTACAAAATGTAAACGCGTACCTTGAGAATAATTGTCGAAGTTTTAATGTTTACAAAGTCGTTAATTAAAACACAACTGTAGTCTGAAAAATGCGTATGAAGAATTTCAGGTTAGCTTTTTCCCTATAAAAGATCCATGAGTATGTAAAATTTTTGTAATTTAATTGGCAAAAAAAAAGCAAATTTTGGATCCCTTAAAGATAAGGGACATTTTACACATTAAAAAAAAAGATCTAGATCTAGATCCTTGTTCCGATGCATTCTGAAATCCACGGACTTTTTTAAAAAAAAATGACTGAACGATTTATATTACACGCTTTCTTTTAACACCAATAAACATAATACATTTTTAAAAAAAGTACCTAGACATTTTATGTTTCTGGTTGGAACCCAATCTGGCAAACGACCTTCTGTCCCGTTTGGACAAAGTCCACTGGGCAGTTGCCGCATTTGGGAAATGCCCTTCGGGAAACTGTCACATGAGGGCAAACGTCCAATTGTAAAAACGCCACACGGACTAGTGTCTTTCTGGCAAACGCCATTTTCCACATATTGCGGCACGGCAAAGTCTGAAATTCGGCATAGTTACACACACGCACGCATGCACGCGCGCACACACACACACACACACATATATATATCTTTGCGTTTGCGGAAAAGCTTGGGCAATTATAGTCGTTCACTAAATTGAATCAAGCGCGCCCGCCGGCGCCCCGGCAGGGTGCGATTTGCGCATGGGCCATCCCGTGAGCGCTATTGTGCATACATTCGTTTTAAACAGTGCGATAGACTATGGATAAAAAGGGTTACTATAGTCGTTCACTATATCGAATCCAGGGCGTCCTCCGGCGCCCCACAGGGTGCTATTTGGCGCCCCGGGCCTTCTCGTAAGCGCTGCGGCGCCTATGTTCGTTTTAAACGTTTTTTGGGGTTTGCGTATTTTTTTGGGGTTGGGTTCGTGTTTTCGTTTGTGTTTGCGTTAT